ATCCATTTTTAAGCAAGAATTTCAAATATTGCAATCAACTAAGTGAACTCAAAGGAAAACACATGTCATTAAGTTACTATGTCAATTGAAATATTTACCCATCTGGAACATACATTTATATCTGCTGCAGATATAATGTATCCAGAGTCATGGAGAATCATGAAATTATAAGGTTGTTGTGGGAAAACAGTTAATTCTGTAATAAGGTAAATTACATTTTCTGGTTGCTGCCTTCTAAATGGTCCGTTTATTCCTGAATGTTCTGTTAGCTGCTAAAGAAAATAGTTTAGTATACTCTAGTTGCTGTAGAAACTTAGTATGTTTTTCCCCTCAGATGCTTTTATTAATTACATCACTTTGAAAGCTCATTGCGGGATTTTCAGTCTTAAATTAGTGTGATGACAACACGAGGGCAGATTATAAAATGGTACAGTTTGTCCTTTAGGGAGTGGATAACACTGTTTGTTTCTGCCCTGTCATGAATCCTGTTGTTATAGGAGTCTGTAATCATTTAAATCTCTTCAGAAAAAACAAAACAAAACACGTTTTTGTTGAATGTAAGGAAATATTTTAAATCCATATGTGGGAAGCAGCTTGTAAGATATTGGGTAGTGAACTGACATTTGTGCTCATGATACACACTCTCTAGTGTTGTCGAGTATTTCCTTGGTGCAATGTAAAACAGGGAGAGTTAAGTTTCTAATTCATGGTAATATCAGCTAGCATTGCCTTATTTTTGTTAACTAATGTTTTAAAAAGCTAACCTACCAAAAAGAGAAACAAAATGTAAAGTTATATAAATGCATTACATAGCAGTATTTATAAATACCAGGATCTTCAGCATCAAGGTTATAATTTTTTTTTAAAAATCAAGATATCATGCATATTCTCTGAGCAATTTTCTCTAATGTAGAATATTCATTGCTTTGCTGAAAACAGTAAAATTGTTACGCCTTAGAATATTGTAAGTAGGACACAAAATTCGTATGTGATTTAGGGACACGCATGTATGCAGTGTCAATTCTGACAGCTCATTCTGTGCAGCTTTGAAGTGTGGGCTGGATCCAGTGTCACTGTCTGTACAATGACAATTCTCCTTAGAGTCAAGTTTTTTGGACACACAAACTCTCAGTATCATCATTTGTGCTATTCTGTATCACTCACTGGATTGCTAGAAGGGCTTTTTGTTTGTTTTTAACATTCTGCTTGTCAGTTACCTACTTCACTATGATCTATCAGTTAAGAATAAACTATGCTTACTGAAATCAAGTATTATGTAACAGTTTATGTATATATGATCACTACTCTGTGTGTGTATGTATATATATATATATATGTATATATTACTACTGCCCACTCTGAATGCTCTGTGTTTGTATAGGTGTATATACATACATACGTGCTTTACTTTCTCTTTTCTCTGGCCACCCCATTCTGAGTAGTTCTGAAGATCATTATTCAAAACTGTTCAGATTCCTGTGCGTTAGCAGCCCTCAGGGACAGCTGCTCTACTTTGTCTGATAGTAACAGAACTATTCAGGAGATCAGAAAGTGATATACACTGTGTGTGCACACAGCATATATGCTGTTATGCACACACAGTTGCAGTGTATCTGGAGTGGGAGAATAGCAGTGATTTCTGCATGAACACGCAGCCTATGTAGTATTCAGTGGGTGAATAATAGTGAAGCAAGCAGCAGTTGCTTCCTGCTAGATATAAATTATGGATCACTTACTTGACAGCAGGTTGTGTGCTTTTAAAAAAAAAGGATACTTGCTCTTTCCCTGCATTTGTTTGGCTTTTTCCCAGGGTCCGCACTACTTCCAGCTGCGATGCCAAACCCTACTGCCGTTTAGAATTGCGCAACATTGCTTTTAATGCCCAGAGCTCCTCCATAAATAGTTCTGCTCTCCCCACGCCCAGCTAGCAAACAACCACAGGAAATCAGGGCATGTGCAGCCAGCACAGCTTAGCTGGCACTAATTGATCTGAGCCTGCACAGCCTGCATGAGAGAGAGCATTCGTGTACGGGGCCTGCGCTTCTCGCTCTCCAGAGCTGCTGCTGCCTCAGGAGCAGCGACAGCTGCTTTTAAAAGACACCATGTTGCTACTGTAGCCTTAGCAACAACAGCGGCATTTTTGTTGATGTTCCAAAGAGTTTCACTTCTTTAAGGAAATGCACCCACCCTCTCTTCCCCGCTCCATCCCTGTTCTTGCCAGTCAATGATTCGAGGCTTTTTTCAGCTGCATGCAGTTGTCTGGACAAACAGCCAAAGGAGCTCCTTGTGGCTTTCTAAACAAGGAAAAGTTCAAGGAAAGCAGATGGACGGATGTTTTTGCCAGTGTGAGTGACCAATTAGCATTTCGGGGTCACTGAACTGGGAATTTAGTTTCTGAGCTGGAAACATTGTGGACTGTTTGTTTTTGATCTTTAGCTTAAAGGAACACACTTGTTGCTGCAGCTATAGGTATTTTTTACCTCCCTCTGAACATTACTTTTTTTTTTCTTCTTCTTTTTTTGCTGTGTGTTTGGGATTATAGCAGATTTCGAGCATGAAGATTCAGGAGCACCCGAGCATTCCTGAAACCAAATTACAGAGGAACCAAGATGCTGATGGTCAGGAAGACAGCGTCGTCTCAGAAGTGCCTCGGCTGGACTTGACAGCCTTGTGCGATGACAACAGCTGGGAAGGTACAGTTGTGTGCTTGCTGGTATGACACAGAAAGAGAGAATGAGGGGAACATGAGTGGGGTGGGCGTATCTTTGGGCTTATAGTGCCTGGCCAAAAACACAGGAAATGTATTTTGATCTGAAGTCTTGAGAAACTGGAAATGGAATATTGGATTGGTGCCAAGTCTGATTGTAACTTAGGGAAAGGTGGGAGAATGTGTTTGCTCCTTTCTTGCAATGATTCTTCCTTTCTGATTAAGGATTATTCTTTTCATGGTGTTTTGCAGCCCAGGCTAGTGAGGAGCTGGATCCTACTTAAGCAAAACTGAGTATTTTATAGACAGAAAAGAATATCCTGCTTTCTCCCTGTGCTACCCCTTCCCACTCCCATCCTACATAGATATGAAAATCAGAGTTCAAGAAAGACTGGTCTATTTCCTGTCCTTTACTGGTCCTTAGGGACAGTGATTCCCTAGTCTATGTTATACTCCATGTAGAATTCTATTCACCAGGTAAAAAAGTGATGTTAAGTTGCTTGCAGTTCAAATATCTTAATGCTGTGTCTTAGTTCGTTTTTCCGGAGGTTTTTTTGCACTGACTTCGTTAATGGGTTACCTATATTCAGATGCACTCAACGATCTTTTCAGTATAGCACTTTGCAGAGATTAATGCAGGAGTTGTTTGTTTATTGTTTACATTGCATGTAAATAAACACTGAAATCATACTCCTGAGTAATTTACACCATATATGCTGCATGTTTGTGGGGAGGGGAGCCACCTATTATAATTAGCATTTTCCTGTCAGCAAAATGGCCAGGCATTCTGGTCTATCCCAGTGATGCTAAGGGGTCACGTTGCTAAGAAAAATAACTCTTTTTTTAATGCATATTTGTTGAATTACACATTTTGGGCCCAATCCTGAGAGATGCTGAGCAACTCCACTGCCACTGACATCAAGAGGAGTTGAAGACGCTCAGCATCTTTTTGGATCAGATCAATTATGATTCCTGCCTATATCCCTTTCTCCAGTGTGCAAGTGAGTGTGCTTTTGGTGTTAGTCCTGAAACTTGGCAGGCGTGGATTGGGAGGGGCTCTTGGTATAGAAAAAGAGTGTTTAAAAAGAGAGAGAGAGAGACAGACAAGCGTGTAACAGGCATCTGCTACTCTGAAAAACAAAACCTGTGAGCAGTGCAGCATGTTGACAATGGCCAGGTTCTTTGTTCCTGGTTCCACAGCCTACGTGACACATGTCTTCTGCTTTCCATGTAGGAGGGACTAGTGATGACAGTGTGGGGCTGGGCAGACCAAACCAGTAGCAGTGGGTGCTCCTGATTCAAAGTCAGGCCACCAGCTACCTTCAGTGGCACTGAATTTCTCCACCCCCACCTCCAGCCTGGGACTTCCCTAGATGATATCATCATGTACAACACATCTGATTAAAGGGCAGCACGTACTGCAAGGAAGTCTCCCCAGAGACCTCTGATTCATTATATTTTATTGGGATTCTAATTAGCCATAACCTGAAGGGTTTGGATAAGCATAGGAGTTTTTGTGTTTTTAAAGGTGACAGAGGCAAGAATCTCCCCTGTGTATTCTGCTGTCACTTGAACCTTTTGAAATAAAGATTATTTTCTTTCCTTGATGCCTGCGTGTAACTCCCATTGACATTAACGGAGTCATATGTATGCCTCAAGGGGAGAATAGACTGGTAAGCTTGGCTCCCAGAAACTGTCCCACCTCGTGATACAAGCTTTAGTTCCGATACAAAGAACTTTTCTGGAGATGTTTTGACTTGCACAGGGACTCTGGACCATTTTCATGAAAATGAAAGGGGTGTGTGTGTGTATATATATATTCTAAAAGCACTTCTTTCAGACTCTTTTTCTTCCTCCTTCCTGTTTAAAACACATATGTGATGGAAGAGGAGTTTGGCAAAAGGGACAGCCAGAGCAGGTGAGACATATGTCAGTTGTCTCAAATGTCACCATTTTGTAGTTGCAGTACGAGTGCAGGAAAATGGTGGCTTCTGTGTCTTGGTGAACAGGAGACTTTGAACCCATTTCAGCTATGAACGTGTAATCAGTCTGGCAGTGGCTAAAAAGAGGAAGATGCTAGCCCAAACTCAGACATAATTTCCACATCTAGAGCCAGATTTTGTCTGTGAGATGACTCGTAAGTCACTGCTCACAAATATGAGTAAGGGGTTCACAGTCTGGCCCCTATTCTTATGATCTGGGCAGTCTGACCCACGTGGCAGTGTACATGCCTGCATGTCCTCCCTCTTCCTCTGAATTGGCACTGCAGCTCTGCTCACTTCCATGGTAAACAGCAAAATCTTCCAAATTCAAATATGGTAACAGTGTTCATCTTTGTGTTCTATTCAGTTCTGGTGTAACTGAGCTCAGAATCTGCCCTTAAAATCAGTGAAATGGCCAATTCCTTAGGAAAGCAGCTCAGGTTGTGGTTTGGACTTCCTGTGAAATTCTAGCATTGTGTACTCCTGATTGTATACACTGTTAGGTATTCAGAAGCCACAGAACACTAGGTTTCTGGTGGAGCGGCTCATAATTGGCTTGTGAACACAAATTCAGTAGCTGAGGTTCCCTTCATCTCCAGGTATCCCAGCCTCCAATTAAAATTCTTAGGAAAGGTCTGATGGGAAGCAGATATGAAAACAGTTCTACAAGATAGTCTTGTGTGGGGAATGGCTACTGTTCTCTTACCTTTACACACACAGACTAAATCTCATCATATTTAAACCACAATTTCTTAACGCAAATTAGTCTCTCTCTCCCTCAGGGCATTCTTCCAGGCACTTCACTAGAACTGTGACTGTTATCACTGAGTATCTTTTGGGGGTGGAGACACAAAGTAGCAATTATCCAGCCCACCTGAGATCAGCATCAGGTTAGAAATGTTCATCTTTGGACCGCTGTGACTTCAGAATGCATGGATAGCTCTGTGACCCACCCACCCCCTTCCCCTCTGTGCTCCTTGCTCTGATCTAAGCGGTCTACGGAGGTGGCCCACTTGTTGGCAGCTAGAATGAAGTCAGATTTGGGGCTAGTCTACATGTGGAGTTGTTGCTGATTAACTTTCTCTATGGACAGGCCCTCACACACAGAATGGTCATCCCCACATGGGGTGACATTTGTTCTGTCTGCATAAAGACTGACTATTTGGGTCCTATGCAGGAGGAGTTTGGAGAGGTGTAATCCTCCCTCCCCCCATCCCCCCATATACACACAAGGGCTACCATTCAGCTAGAGTAGCAGCTGCAAACTCTCAAGGGCTGGAGCCAGTGGATCTGCATTAAAACCATCTGCAGCTCCTGATGTGGGCCCTCCCTGGACCATCCCCACATAGCTGGCACACAGACCAGTCTTGTGCTACATAGGGTGTGCACAGGCACTCTGGTGCCGCCCCTTCAGGGCTTAGAGTATGGAGGGTCTTGCACCGGCCCCTTGCACCAGAATGAATTTCACTGTGGTGCCCATAGGCATTGAAAAAAGAAGCTATTGCTCTGCAGAGATGCCATGATTTTATAGGATACCTTCAGTTGACACAAATTGAGTGGGTTTTATTCTCAGAGCACGCAGTGGGTGAACTGGGCTGTTTCTGCATCAAATGCTAAAGTGAGGCACAGATAAAATGCATTTCATAAAGAGCAACACTGGCCCTGCAGCTCAACTCTGCTGCCTGTAAATGCGTTCTGTACTGGGCTGTTTGTGACTGCTAGGGTAGCCTGCAAAGTCAGTGAGTCTGTGCAGGCCTGCAACAAATAAAACAGAGCGTTTCCAGAACCGCTCCCACCACAAAGGATTTTAATCTAGTCGTGGTGGATCAAACTGCCAGGAGTGGAAGGGACACCCTGCTGCTTTCATAGTCTAACATTGCTTTGCAAAATTACCTCAACACTTTACTAGCTTGGGCCCCAAACCTACTCCCCCACCCTTTACCACAATGAAAAAATGATAGTGAGAACAACTAATGATATGTAACGTTCCCACTTGCCTAAGGCTAGTCATGTTTTTTTCAATGAGAAAGTGAAATATTGCTGGGATGACCCAAATTGTCTGTCCCCCAGTTTGCTGTCTACTTTGCCTTATTTATCTTGCAGTAGAGTATTAAAAGAACACTATAAACTAAAATTTAGACCAGATTTTGTAATAAAAATATTTTACAAAACCCACAATCAACAGCAGTGTTTTCACCTTATTTTTCTAATTACAGTGAAAACAGGCATTTTTAAACAAATAAACATTCTCCTGCAGTGTTGAAAACAGAAACATTGCACCACTGAGAACCTGAAAATGAACAAAAAATGATCAACAAAGGGCATAAATAATTACCAGTAAATTGAGTTTTTAAAATTCATTATTTGGTTAATCAACAGTGTTATTAATAACATATTTAAAGGGACTTGTTTTTAATGTAACCAATCTAAAGATGATAAATTGCCTTGTATTTTCTCACTGTTATAAACAGAAATGAAATAAATGTAATTTTACTCTATTTGGTAATTTCTCCTCACCATATAGTTACTTGCAACAAATAGTACTTATATTTTTATCATCATTTATTATGATGATTCGTTATTGTGTTAACAAAATATAAACATGGGTACATTAGGCATAGTGTGAATTTGACTTCTTTAATAGAAATTTTTTTTTATCCCTGAGCTAAGATGTGGTGATGCTTCATTAGGGCTATATATTATTTTGATACACTAAGAGAGGCCACAGTATAAGAATATTTTTTAAAATAAAAATAGTTATTTTCTCTACTGATACAGCACATTTCATTCATTATAAAACTAGTATGTATGTTACACTTTAAAATTGTATTAATTAATTTTAAAAGATCATTTTAATTCCCTTCATTTTCTTCTGCATTTTCAAATGGAATTTAGGGCAGCACCCCAGCTGATAAAAATTGGTATAGTTCAGTTGCTTCACCAGTTTACACTATCTGAAAATCTGGCCTCTGGCCTTCATGTTTTGGTCAGATATCTGTCTCCTTTAAGAAATACTGGTACAGCACTTCAGATATCATTGTTCAGTGTATGAATCCATTTCGCAACTGCATTTGCATCTGTATGCATAGGTATTTTAAATATGCTTAGGTGATGTTTCGTCCTGCAGGGGACCACATGAATTTTGTGAGGGTAAACAAAATAAAAATATAAACAATTCCCTATAAGAAGATAACAGATGGTCTTGAGATAACCATATAAATTTCTTCAGCCTAGAGACCACTACACTGCGTTCTCCACACCTCTTGATTAAAATACTGTTATTGTCAACTGAAGAACATCACTTATCCTTGCTATGGCCATTTATTAAAGCGGTAACATGGTAACATATCTATGTGCACCTACAGAATTGCACGCATGCACAACAGGTGGCTGAAAGCTTCAATGGCAGATTAGTTTTGGGACTATGAAAGGTAATATTATACCAGTATTGAAGAAGAGAGTGAAGGCTACAAACATAATACTAACGTTTGCCTTTTCCACACAAACTCGAAAGAGGCCAGGCTAAAGGAATTGAAATGGAAGTTCCAAACCAACAAATAGAATGTTCATACATAGACACTCTGAAGTGTTTACACCCATGTGCACAATCTCTAAGTAATTTCTTCCCTTATGCATGTCCCTTATTACTGAAGAATGAGAAAAGATATCCTAAAATAGAAGTGCTCTGGTTGCTGGTTAGAGGCATGGAGAGACTCCCCTATGGAGGAGAGGTTGACAAGACTGGCACTGTTTTTAGTTGAGAGAGAAGGTGAATAAGAGGAGACATGATAAAGGTATTCAAATTAATCAATGGCTTAGAGAAGATAGATAGAGCACTCCTATTCACCTTTTTACTCACACAAGGACAAGGGACATTCAGTAAAGCTGAAAGTATATGTAAAAGTGATAAGAACTTATCCAGTCCAAGAACTTAGCAGGTTTCGTAAAGTCTTAGTTGTTTATATAGGTAATGAGAGCTTCCATTATGAGATTGTTACATTAGGTAAGATAAACACATAAATGATACAAATCCTCATGCTTCAGGCCATAAGCCAACCACTAACTGAGAGGGACTAGGAGGAACCTTCCTCTTTGGGTCAGTTATTCTATAATTGTGCATGACAAGGAGCATTTGGCACTAACCATTATGGGAAATGAGATACTGGACCAGTTGGACCATTCATTGATCTGATTCCATACAGCAGATCATGTGTTCCTTTGCTACTTGCTCCATTTCTTTTCAGGCTTTGTTAGCCATTTTGACCTCCTGATCTAATTTTTTCTAAATATTATATACCGCAAATGGAACAACTAACCCAAAGAGTCAAGACCTCAAGGAATGAAAGTGGGAAATAGTCAGTTTTCTGTAGCTGCCATTTGTTCCATCCAAGTTTCAAACTTTCTTTCCTTTTATGACTTCCTTCTTCTCCCCCTTTCTGACCCATTCTCCTTTAGAATGTCCATTTCAGCTTTTCATCTGTATTTGAAATTAATAGTGGTACCGCACATGCCTCAGTCACTGCTGACTGTAAAACCGCTTATCTCAGAGCCCTCTTGAGTCATTATGATACTTTTTATGGTACCTGATATCTGGAATGTAAATCTACCTCAGGACAAAGTCACATACATCTTTGTTCACAGGTTTGGTAGTAGCTGAGTTTGTTTACTACTATATGCATTCCTTTTTGCCCTCATTTTTTCCCTTCTAAATCCCAGCAAGGCATAATGCTAATCCCACTGACTGTAAATCACCCAAATACTTCTTATTTTAGAAAGTCCTACTCTAAAGTTGTTAATTCTCCATGATGGGAAGAGGGATCGCTGGAAGAATTATATGAGAGTAACTTGACCAGTGAGGGTGGGGAATCAAAGGATGCCCCTTTTATACTGGACATTAGTTTCCACATTTCACTACCACAGGGTCTCAAAAGACCTTTCTGAAAACATTGGGCTGTGTTAAAATTCAGGGAAATAGTTGGATTCTGGAATGTGTATGGCTCCGAATCATCAAAGTTTGATTCAAGGGCTTGTAGATTGTGGGTTTATTTTTTAACCTTAAGCCTCTGTATTTTCTCTCTCTTTATTATTGGGTTCCTTCAGGATAAGGCAATTTAGAAAACATTTGCTGCAGAGATTATGCAAGGGAACTGAAGTTTACATATATATAGGGCCCTACCAAATTCAGGGTCCATTTTGGTCAATTTCACGGTCATGGGATTTTAAAAATAGTAAATTTCATGATTTCAGATATTTAAATCTGAAAGTTCATGGTGTTGTAACTGTAGGGATCCTGACCCAACTCTGAAGGCGTCAGCACAGAAGTAAGAGTGGCATGGTATGGTATTGCAACCGTTACTTCTGTGCTGCTGGGGGGTGGGGCGCTGCCTTCAGAGCTGGGCACCTGGCCAACAGCCACTGCTCTCTGGCCACCCAGCTCTGAAGGCAGCATAGAAGTGAGGGTGACAACCCCCTACAGTAACCTTGCGACTCCCCCAACAACTCTCTTTTGGGTTGGGACCCCCAGTTTGAGAAATGCTGGTCTCCCCCGTGAAATCTGTACAGTATAGGGTAAAAATAGCCAAAAGACCAGATTTCATGGTCTGTGATGCATTTTTCATGGTGATGAATTTGAGAGGGCCCTATATATATATATATATATATATATATATATATATATAATATAAAACACACTAGTGGTAACATGATGTACACATGTGTTGTGGTTTAAAAAAAATTACACATCCATCACAGCCGAATCAGTGCATCTTCTCTGCAACTGGGGTCCTTTTGGGCTTTTCTGGAGTCTGGCCACAAGTGAAGGTTTGCCTTTTCCATCTCAGAACCCTAGAAAAGGGCCATTGTGCGAATACCACCTACCATTCCTTCAGGAGTGACTTAACTTTCTGGGAACAGCATCAGTCTTTGAGGCAGAGGGGTGCAATTTACATTCCCATGCCAGTGAGGCTACATCTAGCCTTTGATGCATAAATAATGTAAAATGCTTTACACCCCAGTTGGTACTGAATTGAGTATTCCCTTGAATTCAGTAATGCAGAGGACAGTGGAGTACCTTAAACCTAATGGGCCACACGGTGGTTTTACAAGAGGATAGGAACACGGAAATGTAACTTTATGCAGTAAATGGAAGTGCTACGTTTTTCAAAATTTACAAAATAAAAAGGCCTGATCTCTCTCATTGGTATAAGATCAGGATCAGAGCCTGTATCCGCAGGAAGCAGATGATTCTATAGCTGTTTTAAGGCCCTTTCCAATGATTCATCACCCACTATTTGATGTTTTTTCTAACTTCTTTATTTGACTTCAGAACTTCTCGTTAGAATTGCATGTTCAAAGCACAACTCTTAGATCGTCTAATCCTGTGGTGCTAAGTAGGAGCATGCAAACCAGCTTAGTAAACTATCTGAACAGAGAATGTTAGACCCCTTATGGCATCTGGACAGAGTGATCACGGGATTGAAATGATTTTTTTCGGTTTGTTCCAGTATGCTAATCGGCATTCCCAAAACAGATTTCCCTTTCTCACACCCCCAGTCTTCCAAGATGGTTACTTTTACCGTCAGCTGATTAATTCAACCCGTGGATGGGAGATTTATTAGCAGTGCTAGTGTGAGAGAGACTGGGTGGCTCCAGGTGTTGTCGTTTTTTTGTTTGTTTGTTTGTTTTAATGTGAGAATGATTGAGCCCGGATGATTTATTGTTGTTAACACTTTTACAGCTGTAGTAGGCGAGGCACACCACAGAACAAAATAGTAAGATCTGAACCATGCTCCCATGAGATAAAAGTCGACAGTTAGCCATGATGCAGTGATTGAGGGTATCATAAAGCAGGGAGGGGATAAGGTGGGGAAGGATGGGGGGTTTACAACATTGGGATCACCTTGTTAATCATTTATGGCATTTGCACATCTTGTGAATCAATTGATTCCTCCTGCATGTACTGTTCTGCTGCCCTGAGTTACCTCCTTTATACCTGAGTATATTCAAGTCTGTTCAGTTCCTGCCCCAAAGGTTTGGACAGCAAAGGGGGAAGGTGATGTCAGGTTTAGTGTCTATTGGAATCAATGAGCAGTGGTGACTGACCAGATTTAGGGCTTAGTTCTCCCCTGCCTGGCACCTTGTGTAGTCATATGCACCTGTGCAGCATGCTCCCGTTCCGATCTGGTAGCATTTCACACTCCTCCTGCACTCGCCTTGCATACAAGTAAAGGGTGACCACGGGTGCCAGCCAGTGAAGAATCAGGCCCTCTCTCTAAAGGAGGGGGAAAGTTGAGACAAATATGGCTTTAAAAACTGGCCCATGTCTGTGGAGATCATTGAATGCATTTAGAATAAGGAAAATTAAAGCTCATTTTCATTGAGTGGTTTCAATTGATTTCCAGAGCCCATCCCAGTTTTCTCCTCCAGAGAACGAGAAGGCTTAGACTCCGACGAAGCTCACCTGTCCCCACAGGCCGGATGTCTAATTCGGCAGCTTCTGGATGAGGACAGCGATCCAATGCTGTCTCCTCGTTTCTATGCCTATGGGCAAAGCCAGCAGTACCTGGATGATACAGAAGTGCCTCCCTCCCCTCCTGACTCCCATTCATTCATGAGGTAGGTGGTGGTTTCACAGCGGCCATCTGAGCTGCAGGCTTTGCTCCCAGCGCTGCCCAGCAGCAAAGGACTGCAGAGTGGTAATGAGCAGCATCTCGTTTAGCAAGATAATGCCATGTGACCCGCTGTGTGGGTGGGGCTGGTGATCCCCACCGACAGAAGCCTCCTCACTTGCTGTTGCAATGATTTCTAGTGGTGGCTTCCAGGTTCATGCCTGGGTACCCAGGATACTTCTGTCACAATAAGGAGGCTGTCGCATCTTGCTGCAGTGTGTCTGTCATTACAGAGAGGCAGTACAATGCTGTGGACACCTGATTGGATTCCCAGCTCTGCCATTGACTCTCTGTGTTGGTTTGGAAAAGTCACTTAACTTTCTGTGCCCCAGGTTTCTTCATCTATGACATGGGAATAATGGTACTTACCCTCCTGTATAAAAAGGCTTTGAGGTCATCCTCTGATAAAAAGCACTTAAAGTGCTAATGAGGAGGAGGAGGTTGCCCAGGTAGTAGCGTGGTGAAAACTGTGTTGTGATATCCTACATACTGGTCAATATGTATTTTAAGGGATTTATAATTTGGTCGTAAAAACTTTCTCCCTGCTGAAATGTGGTCTGAGATCAGAGGGTTTTTTTAAATGGAAATAATTCGGACCTGGGAGTATGACAAATCTGGTGGAAATTCTGGCAAAGAATGGCAAAACAAATGTAGACACTCCCCCACCCCCATTTTTATTACCAGTTCCACATCATATATATGTACTTATATTTTTAAATTCAGTCTGAACAATAGCACATCACAGGCTATGCATTTGGGCCCAATTGTAGCTCATCCCAGGTGTTGTTACTCTTGTTTTAGCATGAGGGCTAAAGGTGAAGTAACTTGAACCACTCCAGAAGTACGAAATACCCTGAAAGTAGTGATGCAGGAGTGGCTCATCATTGACATTCAGTTGTTTTTATTCAGAGCTCCTGCTCGTTGGGAAATGTTTAAACTCTGGACAATGAATAATGTGAGAATATTCCCTCACCTCCCTCTCAGCCTCCCCAAACTCCCCTCCCTTGCAGGAAGCCTGGCTTCTGGAGGGAGGGCCAGTTACCAGTTCTCCATCACGTCTCTGGAGTTGGCCAGCTAATCTTCAGGTCTTGTACCTCATTTTAGAGAGCAAGTTGGTGGGCCTGCTTTCTCCTAAATTCCCTGCTTAGTTTCTTCTGAATCGCAGCAAACGGTCAACCTACTCACCCTCAATCTTCAATCACCTTCAATTCAAAGAGACTAACACCCCATTTCTTGGTCTCGCTGTTCCTGGATGCTAGCCCTTTAACTATCAATTACATCACGCCTGAATTTGGCTTCATGATGTTCACGGGAGTTGAAATGTACACCTCTACCCCGATATAACGCTGTCCTCGGGAGCCAAAAAATCTTACCGCATTATAGGTGAAACTGCATTATATCGAACTTGCTTTGATCCGCCGGAGTGCGCAGCCACTCCTCCCCCCCCCCCCAAGCACTGCTTTACCACGTTATATCCGAATTCGTGTTATATCGGGTTGCATTATATCGGGGTAGAGGTGTACTTACAATCAGGTGTAATTGACCATCTGTGCATGCAGATGTACGCTGGCTGCTTGCATAGGATCTGACTGCATTCTGTGCTCCCTACAGGAGACGGAGTTCTTCTTTAGGATCTTGTGAAGATGACCGAGAGGATCTGACACCTGCACAGCTGACCCGGAGGATTCAGGGGCTTAAGAAGAAGATCAGGAAGTTTGAGGACAGATTTGAGGAGGAGAGGAAATACAGAGTAAGTTCTTCGCAAGTGAGCATATGTAAGCAAATGAATAGAGACCAAGCTGACAAGGTCTTCAGGGGAGATTTTCAGATACAGCCCGAGTACCTGGAAACAGAGGGAGGTGGAGCTGCCACACAACCAACGGAAAGCACATATTCATGTGTTAGCACCGCCAAGTGAATTCCCTTCTAAAGCATTAGGTGCTGGGAGTGCATGCAGGAAGTAATCTAAGAAACTGTTAGGATTTTTATTACCTGTTTAGTAAATCTGCCCAAAGTTGGTAACTGTGTGAGCGAATGGCTAAGTTAAACCTCTTATTTATTGACAGTTGGGCTGATGGGATGCACATCGTGTTTTAGTGAGGTTCTCACTCTGGGGAAAGCAGTAACTCCAGCGTACTCATGTACTCGGGAGGGATGGGGAATGCGCTCCTTGACTCTGGTTCCTGCACCCTTGCAAAGTGCTGCTGAGCAGCACATGTGAACTGTTCTCCAGTCACTGCTGATGTTTTCTTCTGATGCACAGGAAGCTTTCTAAGGGAGAATAGATTCACACACACCCACATTTGCTAGTGATTTAACCGGAAAAGGTTAGTTCTGAAACAGTCTTGTCTGTGTTAGGAAAAGCTGGCACCAGACAGGAAGAGCGCCCTCCTTCCTTGTTTGGCAGCTGCTGCAGATGGCAGTGATGATTCAGTGTTTCTCCTTTACAATATAATATCTCGTACTTTCCACCTTCAGAGTGCTTTACACACATGAATTAACCCTTCCAGCGCCCTTGCATGAGAGTTGTTATCCATGTTTTACAGAGGGAGAAACTGAGGCAGGAAGTTTTAAGAAAGTAGCCCCAAGCCACAGAGGGAGTTAATAAATAGAATTGTGATTGGAAAGCAGAAGTTCCTGGCTCCCTCTGCTATGGCCAAACCTCTGCTGTAGGCAGTAAACCTGTTTATACAGATCTCGGTTTGAGGTTCTCTCCCCGCTCTCTTCAGAATGATTTCACTGTGGATTTCTGTTCTCTTCCTCTAGCCTTCCCACAGTGACAAAGCAGCCAACCCAGAGGTGCTGAAATGGACAAATGAACTGGCAAAATTTCGGAAGCAGCTTAAAGGTGAGTAACTGGCAGGAGGAAAATGTCCTAGATTGACTTTTACCTATCTTGAAATGCTTCATGGATCTCTTATCCAGGAACTGAAAATATTCTGTTTTTCCATCCCCATCCCAAAAAATCCATCTAGAGTCAAAACTAAAGATATCGGAAGAGGATCTGGCTCCTGTGATGCGCCAGCGGAGCAACACACTCCCCAAGAGCTTCGGGTCACAGCTTGAGAAGGAAGATGACAAGAAGCAAGATCTGTCCGATAAATCTGCAAAACCTGCGGTGGAGGTGACCTTAGACTCCATCCAGAAGAAGCTGCAAGAAAAACGAGCAGAGACGAACCGGCCGGAGGACATTAAGGTACAGTGCATGCAGGTCAGGTTGGGTGTCAGGACTTCAAATACAGTCCTGTAATGCACAGCTGTATGCCAGCTTCTGAAATCCATGCAAGATCTTGCAAACTGCTGAGTTTAGAATCTAGTGATATTGATATATGTATAACATACAACATTTTTAAAGTAGTTTTACTTTTCACTGGAGCACTGTAACATCAATTTTTGTCAAATAATCTTTAATTATGATACTACATTGGTTATGCTTAGTCTTTCTTTCTCTTTCTCTCGTTTTTCTGTGGCATCTCTCACCAGAGGGTTGAAGTACGGAATTGATCATTTCGATTCTCAAAGAACTATCCACATTGAATTTCATAATGGATTTTGTTCTTTGCCTATCCCAGGTTCCAAGAAGTGTTTGATGTGCTTTTGTTTCTGGGTTCCCCCTTCTCATGTTTGGGTTTCCCTATCTTCTGTTATGACGGGAAGGCTTAGGCAAATCACGTGGGTCTTTTCGCACTTTCTGAAGATGGGCATGCTTTGGCTTAGTCTTATCTTTCCTGCTAGCTCATTCAAAGTCGATCACCCTTGTCTGAGGGCACTTTATCTCCACTCTTAAAAGTTTCATATCTGGCCCTGTTAGCTACATGGTTGTCTCTGAGGGTGATTGTCTCGGTCTGATGTAGCTAGTTCCTGAAATGTTGATAGCCTTGTACATTAAGGCCTTGAGATCGCTGACATGTCATCTAAGCAAAACCTTTTTCTGAAAAACAAAAATGTAATCCTTGACGACTGCTTTTAGAAAAGGTGCAGACAGAATTCTCTCATTGCTTCGGATTTGCAGGACAAAAAGCTGCAAGTTGAGAGATTTCAAAAGTGCTTGTTCTGTGGGGGGCTACTGTAATATTGGGTGCAGTGATGGGACAAAAGAATGTCTGGGGTTGGATTCGAAGGACAAGTGTCTCGTGAAAGACTTACACTGATATGTCCTCTTACATCAAAATAAATAATAAACCTTAACAATTACATAGCACTTTAAATTTTCAAAGCACGGTAAAAACTAATGAATCCCCTTGATGAACACACAAACCCTTACCCCTGAAATCTAAGTGTCATTTAGCTGTAATTTGTTTCCATAACACATAACATGGGCCCCTTATGGTAACAGTTCCTTAAAGTGCATCACAGGATAAGGGATTCGGGGAAGTAGTGGCAAGTATTGCAATCTTTATTGCAAAATAATGTGGCTTATTCTTTCAAAGTACAGTATGAATGCAGATAAGGCTAAAGCTCAGTGTTCTCCGAGTGCAGAAATGTGACGTTTTTTTCTCTTCCCCCTCCCTCCATCTTTTATACAGGACATGACTAGAGATGAGATAGCAGCTGAGAAAGTGGCTCTTCAGAAAGCACTCTTATATTATGAAAGCATTCATGGAAGACCGGTACGTACCGCAGCACACATGTAAAATAGTTGCTTGAATTGTCTTCGCCTGTCATAATTAACCTCCCACCACCTTATAAGTACACAAACACCCACACTGGTGGGGGAAAAGCGCAATGATTTTGTTAATCAGTCCCAGCCCCTTTACTCAGGGCAGTCACTCATCTGGTGAGAAGTGCTTTAGCCCTGCATTAACTGCTAAGTTTAGTGTCTATCAGAACAACAGGCTCTTAATTATGATTGGTATCCCTGAGCCTTGCCCTGGTAGAGGCTGGCTGGATGTAAAGGGAAACTCATTTGTGACGTTGATAATATGAGAGAGAGTAAATGCATTTGTCACCTTTCTGAGACTGTTGTAACAATTGTTTAAACAGCGCACACCTCTGGTAAATGCTAAAGTTTTCTAGTTCCACTTCGCCTGCCTTCTGCTGCCAATGTATCCGAAGGTGCCAAGTTAGCAAATTCTCTCTCCCCTTCAGTGTGCTGATGCTTTGGAGTCCCTGATCCCGTCTTTTCCCTCACGCCTGAAATATTTGCTTCTCAGCCCGTTGTTCTAAAATTATTTACTTTAATTTCGCCCTCTCAACACCATCTCCAGGGCTGCCCAAAGGCCACATGATTATTACTGCCTACACTCAGCCATCTAGGTAACAGACTTTTATTACTGTGTAAGGCACAGCAACAAACCATTCCAGGAAAGTGATTTGTCTTTCCTGTCTCCTCTCAGAGTCCGGATTCTGCTCTCACAGTGATGTAAATCAGGGGTAATCCCCCACTGAAGTTAATGAATGTACACCCAGGTAAAACCAGTGTGAGGGCAGAATCTGGCCTGTTGTTATAATATATTTTTCTTTGTTTTTTATTAGCATAACTGCTTCTTAATTTTTTTAAATAAGCTACTTTTACAACCCAGCAAAACTGAACCTAGTAGGAAGGGAGGCTGCAGCAGACCAGCTTTCCTGTTTCCAGCTACTGGCATTGCTGCAGTGGAAAAGTACTGAGAGATCTAGGATAATGTGGACAGTTGGGCCACTTTTTTTTTTTTTTTTTTTTTTAAACTAAACAACAAAAATCAGTGGAGCTCAGATTTATTGTGTAACTGGGTCTGCACCGGTGTCAGATGAGCCTGCAGAGGTGGAGGCTGACCAGCTATAGTTAAACCAGAGAGTCTATTTTTGCAGAATTCCTGGAGCCACTCTAACGAAGCAAGAAATGGTCTGTTCTTCATTAGCTGCTGTTTGCCACATGGCGTGGGCCTGAAATTTCGACCAAAGGCTCCGTTATGCTAACTGCTTTTTCATAGAATCGTAAGATTGGAAGGGACCTCGAGAGGTCATGTAGTCCAGTCCCCTACACTTAGGGCAGGACTAAGTATTATCTAGACCATCCCTGGCAGGTGTTTAGCTAACCTCCTCTTACAAATCTCCTTTGAGCGAGATTCCACAGCCTCCTTAAGCAATTTATTCCAGTGCTTAACCACCCTGACAGGAAGTTTTTCCTAATGTCCTACCTAAACTGCCTTTGCTGCAATTTAAGCCATTAATCCTCAGCGGTTAAGAAGAACAATTTTTCTCCCTCCTCCATGTAACAACCTTTTATGTTCTTGAAAACTGTTATCATGTCCCTTCTGTCTTCTCTTTTCCAGACTAAACAAACCCAGTTCGTTCAATCTTCCTTCATAGGTCATGTTTTTTAGACTTTTAATCATTTTTGTTGCTCTTCTCTGGATTTTCTCCAGTTTGTCCACATCTTTCCTGAAATGTGGCACCCAGAACTGGACACAATACTCTAGTTGAGGCCTAATCAGTGCAGAGTAGAGCAGAAGAATTACTTCTCGTGTCTTGCTTACAACACTCCTGCTAATACATCCCAGAACGATGTTTGCTTTTTTTTTGCGACAGTGTTACACTGTTGACTCATATTTAGTTTGTGATCCACTATAACCCCCAGATCCCTTTCCGCAGTACTCCTTCCTAGGCAGTCATTTCCCATTTTCTATGTGTGCAACTGATTGTTCCTTCCGACGTGGAGTACTTTACATTTGTCCTTATTGAATTTCATCCTATTTACTTCAGACCATTTCTCCAGTTTGTGCAGATCATTTTGAATTTTAATCCTATCCTCCAAAGCACTTGCAACCCCTCCCAGCTTGGTATCAGCCACAAACGTTATAAGTGTACTCTCTATGACATTATCTAAATCAATGATGAAAATATACAGATAGGGACCACACATCTTGAAGAACCTCTAGTGACGGGTGAGGAGCCTCCATTTCCTCTGCGCACTTAGGGATTCTTTTTCCCAGTCCAAACTTTATATTTATTTATTTTTTTACAAAACATGGGAGTTTATCCTCTTTGAAGTGGCATTAACTGACGGTTCGGTTCTCTGCCTCAACAGGCACCTTTTCATGTTGTTTTCTAACCCTTAAGGACAGCATGGTCCAACAGCAAAGCAGTGCCAGGACATTCTACCCATTTTTAGGTCCCAACATAGCCTAGGCAGGGAGGATATGATCCTGATTCACCACTGCATTACTCCGTTTTGTGCCCTCGTAACACCATTAAAACTATCTAGTTACAGACAATAGTTCACAGGTTACAAGGCAACGCTGGCTGCACCAGCTAATGAATGTAATCACATCAGCATGAAACCCAATGAAGACCATGGTGAACCTAGCCTTGCAAGTCTTGTAAATGGGTGGTGTATCTCTGGGCTCCGTACTGCTGTTTACATTCCTCCCTTCTATCCAAAACCCCCACCCAACCCCCACAAAAACACCTTTAGGGGGGAAAAGAAACCTATCCTGAACAGAATCAACCTAAAACAAAACAGCAAAAAAGTAAATTAATAAAATCTAAACTATCCGAAGCGCACACCCTACCCAAAGCAGAGTTTTTACACCAGGGACTTTTCTGTTGCTATCAGTTTTACATGGAAGGTTCTCAGATACTACAGTGATGAGCAGCACTTTAAAATCCTAATGTAGCTAGATAGAAATGACATCACAATCAGTTAAAGGCCCTGCCCTAAGAGCCTTCTAATGTAAACTTAGAGCAAAGATACAAGGGAAGAACAGACCTAGGATGTGGGTAAAGACACTGGTGAATAAAATGAAGAGGATAAACTATATGGTCATGTGAAATATTCTACTTGCTGTTTTCCAATCTCACCCACGATATATTAAAGATACAGAAACCCATTTAATCAAACCATTCTGTAGAAGTGTAGAGCTTCACTTTCTCATGCACCACTATTAGCTAGTGTAGGTTTAAATCTCCCCCTCTCCTCTCCTACATTCTCCCCAGTCATTGCAAGGGAGTTTTACTCCCTAGCTTTGTTCCAGAAGATGAGCTGGAGAGTAAAATGAGCAATTCTATGCTAACAACTTGCAGGCATCTTAGGAGAGAAAGTGCAGAGGCAGAGGAGAGGCATTGCAATGTCATTTTACGTAAGGTCTGTAGATCAGCATGCTTGGGGAGGGGCCTCCAAGGGAAGGCAGTCAGTTAGTCATCACAGCTCCTTTCCCTTGTTCCTAGGTCAAAATTGTCACCCTGTTCTGGGATAGCAGACACAAGAATGTGGGTGTGAGCCCTGTGCTTTTGGCCACGAGTACAGAAGTGGCCACAGATGCGGACTGCCTAGTGTGTAGGGGGTTTTGTGATGAGGACAAACGAATACTAGTTTGAGCCTAAATGTCTTGCCCTCCGATTATCCACATTACAAAAGCACCACACAGCTGGAAGTTATGCCAAGGATTGGAAGAGCAGGGCTAAAGGTACACTGGCAGGTCAGAGTGGCAAAGTTCATGCTATACTAATCTCAGGACCATCGCCATTAGCACATCATTCTTGTGAACCCAGATAAATGAGGGTGCAGGAGCATACATTACAGACTAGAGTATCTGCTGCCAGACTCATGGTCCCATTCTTTCTTGCTTTTCAGGTAACAAAAAATGAGCGCCAGGTGATGAAGCCCTTGTATGACAGGTACCGCTTGGTCAAACAGATCCTCTCCAGGGCCAACAGCATCCCTGTTATTGTGAGTACAGCACTTCTCAAGAGGGGATTGCTTTGGTTTGGTGAGGGAGCTTTTTTGGTGGAAGGAGGACAGGAGAATCACACCTCTGCACAGTTACAGAGGCCCAACCTCCCTCGTCACCAAAGAACTGAGTACCTGAACGACTGCAAGTCAATGATACCACAGCAGCTGGGACTAGCGAAGAGCTGGTCAAGGACTCCAGTGCCCATAGCTGGATGTTGAGCACCTTTCACCTTCTGGTGCTCCTCCTTCCATTGGGTTGCTGTTGATTTTTCATTATATGGTTTTTGGCTAAGGCCTCACCTCCTTTTTCCCTCAACATCATAGACTCAGTGTTGGTCACTTACATTGGCAGGAGTAGAGACTTGTGTCTTGCCCACACTGCTGAGGAGCTCAACTACACCAGCAGCCAGACTGCCCAGTTTGTCTGAAGGAGAGGACAGGACAGGCAGTCTCTCAGTCCTCAACACTTACTATCAGAATACACCAATGGCTGCTGCTTTCTAAGTTGATGCAAGGAGTGCTACCACTTCCACTGAGTCCCACACATCTGTCCTGCAGGGCCATTGTCATCAGCTCCACGTACACGCTTTTATCTTCAGTGACCCAGATTTGAAGCTACTTATGTCCCACAACTGGTATTGCCCTTGTCACTGGCCCTAAAATTATTGTGCTATAAAACACATACGCACACTCGTTTTGCCCTGCTGGTGAAAGTAAGCTGTTTTATATTGGTCTCTGCCTGCTCTTTGTTTCACGAATGATCCTTTGTCCTTTTTCTACTGCCAGGCCACGCTTGTGTCTTGGCAGCTGTTTTAATAGGGCGTCTGTTCAGAAGAACAGACCGGCGAAGTGTTACTCCGAGCAGTCAGACACACTGGCAAGCACGCTTTTCAGGGCATTCTCGGCATGTCCTGCTGTATTTTTAAAAAAAACCCCAAAACTCCTGGAATCACTGTTGTGACTGGTCCGCTGCGTGAACTAGATACGTAAGGCTAGCAAGTAGAAGGAAGCCATCCAACCCAGCAGCCACCTCTTGGCAGTTTAGAGCCAGCTTCTCCAAGGAGCTCAGTTCCCATTCAGGCACCAAAATGAAATGGCCAGAATTTCAAAAGTGCTCAGTCAGCCCCCAGCAGCTGCCATGGAGAACAATGGTGCATGTCTTTCCCCTTTCCCCACCTCTCTGAGAACAGTGGGAGCTCCTGGGGGCAGAGCACCTTTGCAAATCCAGCCATGTCAATTAGGTGCCTAAATGGGAACTGAGTTATTGAAAGTCTGGCCTCAGTTGTGAGTGCTGAGCACTTTCGAAAATTGGCCCAGTGGAGTTTTTCAGGGCATACAACGTAGCTGCAGAGAGCCACGTGTTGTCTTTATACATCTATGGGGTTGCTTTTGCTGGGTTTTTTTTCTTCTTAAAGCATTTATTTTCCCGCTCATGCACAGCTGGCCCTTCCATTCATAGTGTTGTGTTTGCACGCACTTGGAACTGATGTCCATTGCTAAGCAGCGACTTGAAAAAAAACAAAACCTTTCTCTGCTTCAAGGTTTTCGCCAGAAGTTTTTTCTTTTAAGAAGCAGTTTTCTTACGATGGTCTGGATGAGCTAAAAGAGTCATGGAGATGAGAGGAGAGCAAGAGAACAGGTGGTGGAGGAGAAAGGGGTTCACAATGTAACCTACTTGTTAACACCTGTCACAGGGTTCCCCCTCCAGCAAGCGGAGAAGCCCTTTGCTGCAGCCAATTATCGAGGGTGAAACAGCTTCCTTCTTCAAGGAGATAAAGGTGAAGACTTCCAGCTGCTAACTAATTGCTCAGTCTGCATCAGTTTCCCCTTCCCGCCAATGACAGAGATTGATTGATTGATTTTTTTTTTCATTAGTATTGATTCTTTGCAGTGTCTCAAAAAAATAATAATCAGTAGCTGCTTAAGCCTAGCCAGTTTTGAACAAATCCCTCCTTTATGTTACTGCAGATCAGCCTACAATATTTCCTTGGCTTTGTGTTTTTCCTCTCCACACATAATTTACTTTGTAAAACCTTCACGATTATTGGTTGCACCTCTGCTTTCTTTTGCTTTTGAATATTCCTCACCAGTTTTTTGCTGTTCTTTTTCTCACACCAAAGCTCTGAGGCTTTTATGCCACACCACGGCTGGGTTGGGCTTTCCCAGAACACGAATAGGTTATAGGCTAGCACACACGTATAGGTTGTGGAAATTTACCCACACCTGTTCACCTCCTGGCTGGGTTCAGTTCTTATTTTACACTTTGAAACTACACTTCTAGAAGCAGAGGAAGTACAGCTTAGTTACGTTAGTGACTATTTGATCTGGTTTGTTTGCTTGGATTTTTTTTCACTCTGTGCTGCCATGGGTTGGTATTTCCCAGTGTTAAGAACTGATGTGAAAACATTGGGCCAGATTCATTACTGCCTAACTGCATGTGCCTTAAATAGTTAACGCACTAGGGATTAATGTGGTCCATATTACTTTTGTCCAAGAAAGTTCAATCACCAGCACCAAGAGGCTTAGCATATGACACAATTATCTGCATGCTTTTTATTGCCATCACAGTATGAACAAGAGAAACATGCTGCAACGCATTCTGATTTCATGCCCATTTGTCTGTTAACCATCCCAAACTGGGTAATATTGCAGATACTATGAACTAAATATTCTTTAATTATAATTATTGCAGGCTAAATATTAATTGCATATATGAAGTAGATATTAATTAAGGTGAAGCTACAATATCATACATGTTAAGTGGCTGTGTGTTTACATAGCTCCTTATCCCTCAGTGACTTGTTTAGTATTGAATAGATAATTGCTGAACCAAGCCTGAATTAAGGGCCATATTCTTTTAAAGTGTCCTCTAATTTTGCACCACCAACTTTGCGCTGCGATTTCTTCCCACTCAAGGTGTGATTGCAATATGTGTAGACATACCCGAGCTAGCTTTAATCCAGCTAGCGTGAGTACCAGCAGGAGTGAAGTTGTGCTATCTGCCCAAGGGCGTGTCTACACTTAACACACTCCCGCGGCAGAGCTGGGTCGCAGTCGCTCTTCAGTGTAGACCATACCCATGCTGATGGGAGGGCTTCTCCTATTGGCATAGATAGTCCACCTCCCTGAGAAGCCGTAGCCAGGTCAATTCATTGGAAAGTTTGCTCACTAGGAAAACTGATGCACTATAGTATTGGGTTTAAAATTGTGTATTTGTAATTGTGTATTTTAGAATGTTTTAAGGTGCTGGGAGCTCCAAGTAGATGCCCGCAAAGGTGAAAAAATAACTGCAAATAAATGGATTGCAGATGCAAATAGTCACAGGCGGTTACAGTGTGATTGGCTGCAGAAGCGAATTGATTGTGGGGACAAAATTCGAGGCCAGGTCGAGGCCCATTTAAAATCATGCTCCTACGTGTCTGTCAGGCATTTCCAGTTGAATTCTCACTTAAAGAGCCTTCTGATTCGCTCCCTTCAGTTCAAGGAGCTGAAATCTGTGACTATAAATTGTAATCTGAGGCACTAATGCCCCGGACAAGTGACAATTCTGTGCTGTGTCTGATGGTGTCTCGTCATCCCTCTGGTTCTAGTTGGCAAAAGCTCGTTAGCATGTTTTTGAATTGCACTTCTCCTTGGCAGCTGTGACAGTGAGTGCAGTGCAGTTAGAAATGGAACAAGCCACTTGTTGACTTATAATATCCACAGCCCTCTGGAGGGGGAGGGTCCCGAAATAATCCGTTTTAAAATTTCTCTCCCTATGGCAAAGGAGAGTAGCAAATCTGAGCAGGCGCTGTTGTCACCTTCTGCGTTCTTCATTGCTTTTATCATAGCACTTAGGGCTAGTGTGCACAGCACCCTGTACCTGAATGCAAAAACCCACGCGCTGCTCTCTGAATTAGCCAGCAGGATGAGGTGTGAGAACAGTACACAACCGAAGGCACTGGCAGTCATTCTTCCTTGGCCTAAGTTTTATAACTGGCAGTGAAGCTGTCATGGTCTGTCTCTAGAAAAGCTTTAAAACCTAATCATCAATCAAAAATCACGTTATCTTTTACCTGTTCCCTGCTGTTTTCCTTCAGATGTTTTCAGGTTTCTGTTTTTATTGCGTTTCTCCCTTGCTAGCCAGTGAGTGCTCCATGTGTCGTAATTCTCAGTCTGTGGCTTCAGATTACATTTCCCTGGGAAAGGCCACTGACCTCGTAAACACAAGACTACGGGCCAAATCCAGACCTGGTATACACTTGGCCATTTACACATCATTGACCTCGGTGGATTCCGACCTGAGTACACAAGCTCTGAATCTGGCTCTGTTGCTTCCTTACCGAATGAAGCAGAAGGAGATCTAGGTTTGAAAGGGAGAAAGATCTTATAGAAACAGTTGAAATATTAGCAAAGGGAACGCAGGAGAAACGGCAAAGAAAATTGCTCTTTTTGGCCCCAATTCAGCAGTGTGTTTTAGCATATATCGTTTCCTTCAAGACTTCATTGGGACTGCTCAGGCGCTCATTAAAGCTAGAGGTGTGCGTCAGTACCTTGCTAAACCAGGCGTGTATCAGTCCCTGTTTCAAGTAACAGATCAAGTCAGCAACAACTGTGTTTCTCTCTCTCTCTCACACACACGCGCACACACACACACACACACACTCTCTCTCTCTCTCTCTCTCTCTCTCTCTCTCTCTCTCTCTCTCTC